ATATCTGAAGTACACCAGAACTCAGTAGTGCATATGAACTTAATACTTATAAAGTGTAAAGGTCCTCTTCCTGGCTGTCCCACTGAAACAAATCATGCTTGTTCAGATTACCGGTTACTTAGAATTAATGGCCATGTGGCGGATAGTGACGTGCTATGGACGTGCAATAGAGTGACGTGCTATGCACGTGCAATGATCTGTCGGTATATCGTGTTCCTTATGAGGAGAATGACATCATCCTAGTGATAGTAAAAATAAGTTAAAGATACAGATTACAGATCGTGTTTGAGTTTCTGCTCTCAAGAAAACGGGACTAGAGTACAGGGCCTCCTCCACGAAACTTGTACTTAACTTTTTTGAACTCAAGCTTAGTTCGCACTTAGCTTAAGTACGACAATTTCTGCTGTCCACGAAACTAGAGACACTTAAGCAAACACAAATTTAGGACAAACCTGTCGTCCACGAACGGGTATCATGCAGAGTACTTAACTGTCACGTGACTGAGGTAACGCAGGTCACACTAACCAATGGTGTGATAGCAAGTAGGAACCAAATTGAGCACACCCAGTCAGGTTCTATTAGTATTATTGATTATGTCATTTCCAGTTATTTGGAAGCGGGACATGCTATCAACTGTCAGGTTATATGTGACATCAATGAGCGATTTCTGGACTCTGTTGTGCGTTGGCCCGGTAGTATCCATGATTCAACCATTTGGAAATTAAGTGGGGTTAAGACCTTGATCGAAGATTTTGTCAAGAGCCAAGGGCCAAACTATTTAAAGGGTTAGCTTCTTGGTGATTCGGGGTACGGCCAGCGAGAAATCATGATGGTTCCACTGCTTGAAGAAAAGCTCACTCCGAAAGAGAAACGGTACAACGTTGCACACAAAAAGTGCAGATGTACTGTAGAGGGGGCCATTGGTGTCCTGAAATCGAGGTTTAGGTGTCTCTGCAAGAAGACAGGTGGTGCAATATTATATCAGGAAGACACCGCATGCCATGTAATATCATAGTTAGTTGTATGGTCCTGCATAATTACTGCAGATCTAGGAATATGGACTACCCTGTAGATACAGACATCGCGAGGACATCAGTGAAAAAGGGGCCCTGAAATTGGGACAGGAAGCTAGAACATGTGTCATTGATTCGTTCATGTAAATATTGACTGAAGATAACTGTTACTAAGCCCTTCAGCTTATTGAAAAACACTCCAAATTTACGGTTTATATGTTTTTAAAACCCTCGAAACTGTTTACTGTTCCTCAATCACTATTTTTAGTTATCACAAAATCCGATTTTACATTTAAGTTCGACTTAAGTACAGCTTAAGTGAGGTTTGGACTGGTCTTAACTTTTTACTTAAATCTCCCTGATTTAAGTCCACTCATAAGTAAATTTAGGGCTTAAGTAAGTATCGATTACAATTACGCTTCCAACACGCACCATATATGGAGGCTAACGCAACTTTAAGTGCACGCTAAGTTTAACTCCCAAAGTCGTACTTAAATATTTAAGTAGGAACTTAAATCATGCGACTTAAGTAAAAATTTGTACTTAAGACTCAGTTCGTGGACGACAAACGAAGGGTTGTACTTAAATTTGTACTTAAGTCATTCTTAAGTACACCATAAACTGTTCGTGGAAGACACCCTGTATGATTACTATGTAAGATTAGGAATTATTGTGACAATATTTCTTTGGGAAGTCCTCTAAATGTTTGACAAAAAATTAGTCCGAAAGTCGGGTCTTCTTGACGAATCACTATGTCATGGGCCAAACAAAAAGTTGCTATTTTATTGAATATCGAAACATTGGGCATTGGTATCGATATTCAGTAAAATAGCAACTACCAATATGAATATTTCCAATTTGGCGTGTGAGCTAATAAATGAAATGTATCATGAAATTTTTCTGTCCCCATTTTACTATCAGCAAAAATCATTCGAGAGGGTCTATCCCTTACGGAACACACCCATGCTGCTTAATTCTCAAACCGTTAAAACACCATACTAATATACTACACAAATTACTTTTTCAAGCCGCGAAGTTTAAAGCTAGCTCTTATTAAGCCAGAAGCAAACTATTTCAAAGCGGTAGAAACTGTTGAAACTGTTGAAACTTGTTCCGATTGCTTTCAGTTGCCGTACTTATAGCAGGGTCCATTTTAAAACAGGGGTGCATGTTGAAAAGCATGGTGACAGAAAAGTTGGTTCTGCCGTGTTTATGGTTATATATCTGCTTATTTTGGGTTCAAAAATTCGGCACCTGACATGAGAAATAATGTCACCCGTTTCACGTACTGTGATAATGTCATTTGAAGAGAGTCTGAATTTGGCAGCAACTGTGAGGTACTATTGATGTGGCTGAAAACGCACAAACTAAAACCCAGCTAATTCTTCATCAGTTCTGTCAACAACTATAAACACGGGGAGTGGGAACTGATAAAGCTTAAATAAAGTGGGAATTTTAAGTGACGTTATCGACACCTCTTGATCGGCAATTAAACTTGTTTTGGCAAGGAATCTCAGCTCTTCCTTATCTTCAACTTGTAAACCAGTAACCACATTAAATCTCGTCAGGTCACGCTCTCTTTCATAAAACTAATAAACAAGTAATTGATACTATTATTCAGCGGAAATCAGACTGGAGTAAACATTTTGAAGGTTCTAGATTAATGAGGATAAAGAGTTTAGTTGTTACCTAGAAACAGTGGTGTCATATCACTATCAGCGTTGTAAAGATTGTCCGGGATCTGTTTGTTGCTATCACAACGTCACTGGGGTAAGTTTATACTGAAGTGGGGATAAGATTGATTTAATTAATATTGACTCAAAGGATCCTCCTATGAATTTGATTAAATAGACTTAATATTTTAATGAGAGGACAATTATCTAAAATTGGCTGGATCTTTACTGCAAAAAGCTCCGTATAAAGAGTTGTGTTTTAATATTTTAATACTACACTACCCACCCTACCTACCCTGCCGTCTGCAGGTGTGGTGCCACTTTTCAAAGTTTAGATGAAATCAACCATGTATGCAGGAGTATAAGGTAACTTTTTACTGTCAAGACAGAACAGCTCTGAAATATATTCAATATTCATATACGAACTTTGTTTATAAACAAAGTTCGTTAGCTTTTTAAGATGGAGTATGGGGGAATATGCGATACCTTACATCTCTGCCGTATATATATATTATTATCCTGACCTCATGAACAAGGTGTATGAGCATATGAGAGGATACTGTATGTTTGACTGACAAAAATCATTCGATAATGGACAGGGCCTTTCCTTTTTGATTTTTTGTATTCTCATTCTCACGTTCTTTTAAGTAGAGTTGGCATACCAGAGGAGGGTATCCTCCAGAAAAAATAAACCTTCTTAGCGTTTTCAATCCTTTTAAACTTGTAATAGAAATTATGATATGTACTTGAGGCTCTTGGGTCAGACTTTTGGACATGACATGTGTCGCCTCAAAAGTCTGGGCTAATGGTTGAAGGTTAATTATAAATAATGATATCATGAACCATGATATCATTTTTCAAGCTTTATGGCTCACCGCCCTTTTTTCATGGAAGCGGCAGAGTTAAGTTTTTTAATCTGTAGTCTGTATCTGACGGATTGCTCGCCCTACCCTAAATATTAATAATGATTTCATTGCCAACCACCATGACTTAAGTGCTTGGCCACGAGCCAAAACTTTTGTTTTCTTTTTCTAGAGAAGTGTATCTGCCTCTACCGGGAATGCTTTCGTTTTCAGCTTTTTGAAGAAGAAGAACTTCTACTTCTTATAGATCGGACTTTTAATTTTACCGCTAATAATTTATAGTGACATCACTGAAGAGGCAGACTCAAGTTTGTAGTCTGTTCACTTGAGGCTGTTTATATCTTGAGTGAATGCACGCCCTTCCCCTGATTGTAACTTCATTACCGACCACTCTGGGATCCGGACCAGACCTTTTTTCTTTCTTACTTTTAAAGGAGTATAACTTTTACTGGAATATTAATATTGGCAATTTGTAAGAATTTTAATGAGGTTATTGAAAATGTAAGTCGGTAACAGATTTAGTTTGTCGTGGGAACAGCAACAGTTGTAGACAAAGAAACCTTTTTTAGGATTTGTAACTGTGTGCTTACAAATACCAAGAATCAGCTGTAGTAGGGCGTCTGCATGTTAACCGTACTAAGTAACTGTTTAATGTGTGTCAACAAAACAGAAACCGTAGGTTTAGTTTCCGTCGACACGTTATTATTAGACCAAATATCGGCTCACTAAAACTGAGAAAAAAGGCACTGATTGACCCCACTGAATTGATGTCCATAGGATCTGTACGTCTCATGGAGGAACATAGGACTCATAATTGTTTATGTTAACTATGCAGTATGCTGCTCGGGTGATAGGACTCATGATTGTTTATGTTAACTATGCTGCTCGGGTGATTGTTTATGTTAACTATGCTGCTCGGGTGATTGTTTATGTTAACTATGCTGCTCGGGTGATGGTTTATGTTAACTATGCTGCTCAGGTGATGCGACGAAGGGTTTTAGATCTTACAGATCCACTTCTTTAACTTCAACTTGTTTAACATTTTTAAGGATACTGACCTTTAACTTACCGCTAAAGCTTGTGATAATTCTAAGTAAAAATTTAGTGTTAAAGGTCCGAAATTCGAATACCGAGCCCCGAAAGAAACATTTAAAGCGTTTCAATTTATGTTTTGTAGCATTCATTTCTTTTTGTGCTGATTTCCCTAAAAGTAATTAAATATCTGGTCTGCATGATTTAAAATCCCTTTTAAAATCATTTGTTACATTAACTGATTAACAGTGAAACTGCAGTTTTTCCACCCCAAGCCTAAAGTTAATGACGATATAACCTGAAATTATTATTTATTCTCATACATATTCTAGCTTTTAAAAATGACAGTGTTAAAACTATAAAAATGCAGTTGTGGATATTAACACTAAGGCATCTAACTTCACCCACCAAACTATGTAGCATGCCGGGTATAGTGAAGGTGAGGATCCTAGAGGGGAGAGATCTCCCTATCATGGACCGTGCTAGCGAGCTTACTGACGCGTATGTCGATGTCAAGTTCCACGAGAGAACCATCTTCAGAACTCAAGTGTGCTCCAAAACACTTTGTCCTAAGTGGAACTCAGGTTTGTTCAGCTATCCAAGGTTTCAGCGAGAATCTTATTCTCCCCTAAATTTCAATGAACATGGGATTATATCTTAGTCTGGAAGCTTATAACAAAACCCTCCTCCCCTACTAGATTGGTTCACGTTTGAAGTGGATGATGAACAAATCCAAGAAGACTTGCTGCAGATAAAGGTGTTCGATAAAGATACGGTCACAGCTAATGACCCCATCGGTAAGGTTTGTGCTTTTCAGAATGTTTTTTCCTGTAGTCGTAGATCCCATCCGTGCTGTATTCTGTAAAGAGATTGCATCCTGCGTGTAGTTTTCCTGTTTATAGAGGACCCATTTCCTTAATTAACGCACGTAATATTGCATAATATTGCTTCAAACATTGCATTGAATTAATCCTACGGGTGATTTTGTCAAGTATGTTAGTCATAATCTCCAAAAGAACAATCTAAAAACACCCCCTGTAGCCTGTACGTCTTCGCTTTACAAGATGTAGAATTGTCGAGGGGATTGTCAACGCGCTGACCTAACCCCGCCTAATTCCCCCTTTTAACACACCTGATCAGAACACTGGACCCTATAACTGCAGGTTCACGTGTCGCTGGTGCCCCTGACATCACCTGGTAACCCTAACTACCTGACGGGCTGGTTCCCTATATTTGACACGCTGCACGGTATACGGGGGGAGATTAAGATTATAGTCAAGGTGGGTAACAGTGTGTTTAAATTAAATATGTGCGTGATTTACATTTTGTATTCACACGATGTATAATTAGTATCACGTACATTCATTTATGAGTTGTTTTATAGTGACATGTTAGAAGTAGACGCCACAAAGTAAGCCACAATTCTGATTATCTAGATAAGTAATATATACAAGTACTTAATTAATTATCAGTAATGTTTTCTACTGACTTCAGGTAAAGTACATATCAGATACGAAACAAAGTTCCTGTGGCGTGAAGTTCTTTTATAGCAAAACTGTTCCCTCCATTTATCATCTAGTTGAGGTTGGTTATTAACCGTTAACAATCTTCTTTCTATCATAACCAGTACAGTTAGCAATCATTATTCAGTATATTACTTTTACTGATTATTGCCCTGTTGGAACAAACTATCCCGGGCTCCTATGGGTAATTATAGCAAAATTTAGATAATCAGTTAAACAGTTAAAGGAAATTATTATATATGACATCCAGCAATGACAATTCAGCGTTCTCTCACAAAAATGCAGATGCCTAAGATAATTGTCTGAGCGTATCTTGTCCATTTTTACTTTGCGTTTGCTAAGAGGAGGGCTTATTTATAGATATGATCCTCACTTTTATAAATGCATTCTACCTAAAATCCGGAATGTATTTATTGTCAGCAAAATATTACCAAACTCATCAGTCCGGTTACACACATAACAACACATAACAACACATAACAACACATAACAACACATAACAACACATAACAACACATAACAACACATAACAACACATAACAACAGGTTAAGAGTTTTGTGGAGGAGCTAGTAATAGAGGATGATCCTGAGTACAAGTGGATTGACAAGATCAGGACTACTCGAGCTAGCAACGAGGCCAGGCAGCTCCTCTTCCTAAGACTAGCATCCAGTCTTCAGAGAAAGGTTCGTGGGAAATGTGGGATAAAGTGTGTCATGTTTGTTATGATGTTGCAATAAAACACACCTTTAACCGTACATATTTCCCCTTTGCGCTCAATTTTAGGCGTTAAATGTAGATAGTAATATTTATCCGAGTCAGAAAACGGGATTCGTGGCCTGAAAGTGGACACGAACATAAAACATTACAAATTCTCAACCGGGAACTCGTTCTGGAGTTCAGTTCAATTATATCATCAGGTTGTCATTTCTTTCAACAATTGGTAACTTACGTAATTTGTATGATAAATTATGGACATCACACTTTGCAGTTAGAATAAAGGTATTGTGTTCTTGTAAATAATGGCTTCCAAGCCTCAACTTTTGACTTTTTTCCGTCAAGAAAAATGGATCCAGAAGCCCTATAACGAATAATATTAAATTTTCAATTTTGCATTACTCAGATTGGGAGCAAAGTATTGGACTTGGGAGGGAACGCTGTGATTGGCTACAGACAGTGCCTTGATTTGGAAGGATCTTTTGGTGTGGTTGTCAGGGCTATTGGTTTGTTATTCTGATATTATGTAATTCAGTATGTTGGACCGTATACATTATACAATGTTAAAGTGGCACGTCGCATCTTGGTTATAAATCAAATCCAGACTTAGACCTGTTAAAAGCATTCCTGAGTAATTTACGATTGAAGCATAGCCCAGAATGTAAAATCAACTAATCAGCTGTCGTTGAGTATGATGGTATTAAGCATCAGTCGCCTCAAAATAATCCAGTGTAGAATCTTAAGATTGATATTGATCACATAGACGTAAAAACGACGTATCCGAAGCGACCCGCTCGTGACTCAACTAGTCTCGGATTTTTACGGCCATCCACAAGGGAGTATCACCTCAATATCCAATAAAAGAATAATTGCAATAGATTTCTAATGTTGTAATCAGTTAAAAATTGAATCATATCGTCATGATCACCATCACTCTTAAAATCAGTCACTGATAGTCAAAGTAAAGCCGTTTCACCACTTAACTATCCGTCAGGAACGTGTGTGACCATTAAAGAGAACAGGATGCCACCCTGTAGCCCCACAACCCCTGGTCCTGACTACAGGGCCTACCCCGCTGACTCTTACCCTATAACTCCCGAATACGACTCTCCTCACAAGGTAATGGGTAGTATTTTAATTATTAATTCACTATAGATTAATTATTTATAATCTTAATCCGATAACGTAATTCGAATTATTTTAATGGGAGTGTCAGCTTTGTGCTTGTAATAGGTATGATTTTATCCACCTGTGGTGTTGATAAACAACGTGGTAGTTTCTTGGTTCATTAGAAATATTTTGGAGCCCCTTGTCTTAGTGAAAGGTGCGAGAATTTTGGCCCCTTATCACAGTGCTGGCAAGCATGACCGTTGCAATTATACTTACTATACTATTTAAAGATACTATTATATACTATTATATACCGCCTTTACTGTTTTTCAGGCATTAAGACTCACCGAAAGTAGGTCAGCAGGCATATTTTAAGTTCAGAAAATTCCAATTCAATGTCAAAGATAACAGGAATAAGAAATAGTTACGTGGAGTTTTTAAGAAATTTGCGCAAAATACGCGCCAGCACCATGTTCTACGAAATTCGGTTTAAAAAAATCGCCATATTCAAGTGTTAAAATTGAGTTAGAGATCTAAAATTTTGCAGGGCGTCTAGATTTTACCAAATCGACTGTAAAAAAAGTTTCAAGTTTCAATGAAGGCTACAATCGACTGCAGCGGTCCACTCTACCCATGATTATGGGTTTTGGTCAAATTATTGACCCTAGCTATGACCCTCGGTGATCTTCTCCCAGACCCTAATACAAACACTATAAGTCTAGCGAGTTTCGACGTGTTGAGGGTCCCGAAAGTAAAGGCCCGCTACGTCAAGTGGTTAGTTCAGTGTGTTTCCAAGCTGCACAACTCCAGCTTAATTATCAGCTGATTATTTGATATCTGAGTCAGGAAAGGAATGTGGCATTTTCTGTACTGGGCTGGAAGATTTACATAATATCCCATGAGTAAGGACCATGACTTCAAGCTCAGTCTGTTTCAAGACCTGTTACAAGTCACTTGATAAAGCAATGATATAGCGATGATATAGTAATAATATAGCAATGATATAGTAATAATATAGCAATGATATAGCGATGGAATAGTGTTTTCCGTATAGATCATATCTTTATACATGAATATGCATATTGATGGTGACAATGTGTTAGTTATGATCCTCCAACTTCAACTCACCAATAATAAAACTCATATAGTTATCCCACTGAAAGTAATCCCTGTACCGGAGCTCTAATACTATTCTTGTAACAAGAGTTGAGTTTAGGGTTGATACTCCAGAAACCAACTTCCTAGACTCTCCATTCTGCTCGACCTCCACTGCAAAGTTATTTTCCACCTTGATGGTAAACAGCAGTTCACCATTAGTGTAGTCAGACATGTTGAAGTAAGGTGGTTGGTACTGAAATTAGTTATTAGGAGTTTAGTTTCTCAGAGTCTTCATGCTAGGTAACTCAATATTAAATAATACAACTTTCATAGCTTATCTTTATATAATATTAAGTAGTATTATAAAACTTACTATCCACGTATTATTATATATGCTGCTGAAAACTATTTTTCTGTGAACCAGGGTTTCCATATTTTCAACAGAGCCATCAAACCTGTAATAGTCAGTTAAAGGCTCACTATCTAGTACTTGTAAATCATCTTCTAAATGTTTGAAGTATACTAGATGCTACAATATGTGGGAACAAAATTAATAAAGCTGTAGAAACTGAACCTATTTGACATGTAACTGTAAGCACTCAGGAATCGCACCTTAAAGCCATTCTAAAGACAGTATCCCAATTGTCCGTGAGTAGGTTCACTCTCACAACCCCATAAGGCAGCCCTAAGTAATTCCCCCTTAACTGTATCTGACTTCCTTTTTTTAGACTACCCTCTTCTACGCTGAACAAATAGTAGCCTAGAGTGGCGTTGACTCTGAGTCCTGAAATATCATTGGAGGTGAGAGGGCCAGGGGTCGCCTTTTCTACAGAAATGCAAGAAGCGACATAAATATTTAATTAAATTTATCCTTGAACAGGATTGTTTACTTACCAAGTATGAATATCACAACAAAAGCTTGTTGAAGAAACAAGAGTTTTGACATTTGCTTCGATGGAAAGCTAGCACGTAGCCAGATAACCAGTCTTTATTATTGTGTTGTACATAGAAAACCTGTTAGTGAATAAAGAATCAACCAGTAAACCATCATGCTGACAATTTACCAATAAGGACTGTTTATTTGACTAAAATGTTGTATTATCTATAAAATTACCACACTATTAGCAATGAGTTAACTCTATTGTTTAAAGAGCTGAATTACAATGGACAATATTAGTGAATATTCTGTGGCTCTTAACCCAAACCCACCGAACCTCGAGTACAACAAGTGCAGAAGAAACAATAACTCTAGCTGTCCCTGGATCTCTCTGGCTGGCACATTCTATTACACTATTATACTGATGCAATTACTTTGATGAGAAATTCTGCAACCTGAAACCATGGTCCATGTTGGATATTACTATATATCACTATATATTGTATAGCGACACCACGATATGGTGTCTGTAACGGCTCAGAATATTCTATGAGTCCTTTCTTTAATCCTCCTAACACCTTGTAAACTGTAAAGCTATAATTTTTTCTTTCCTGTAACCATCCAATTATACTCTAGACAATCGAACTTCGAAAACGCCAAGAAATCTCAAAACGAAATGAAAGCACAAAAATTAGATTATTCGAATACTAATAAGGTAATCGTTGTCCTGCCCCAGTGCCCTCACGCTCCAAAACGATGCGCGCTAGGACGTCGTACCAGATAATTTAGCTACAGGATGGACCAGAATTCGCTAACCCCACTCGACCCCTCGAATAACTCACGTTATTCGTGTCGAAATTGTTCAAATATGGGGTCGAATAAGATTCCCTAATTGTTCCTTAAACATTTTAAGATAACAATGGGTGTAGCTCCTGCCAGTCACTCTCTTTTTTCTTCTTTTTCTCTCCTTTTATAATTTAAAACTATTTTCCTCATAAATGACAACGTTTTGAACAAGGAACTCAAAATTTGTTGGATATTAATAAATATAGTTTGTAACACTAACAATCATAACATAAGATTCCACATCTTAAAAACTAAAATTTGAACTGAGACATTTAAACCGTTTTATTCAACCGTTTTATTCAACAGATAAACCGTTTTACGAGCAGTAGAAATCAAACTGAGGGTATATAGCAAGTTTATTACGATAGTGTTCATGATTTCTCAAAAGATTCAACCAATGGATCGTTTTCTTAGATTGAATACGACAGTTATGTTTAAGAATACAATTATCATCAATATCAAACAACATTTACAAATAAAATCTAATAAAGCTTCCTTTGTTTCTAGTCCGTATCTCTTGCGGTGAGATTCGACTGCTTGAACTAGTTCCTGGAAGGACTCCTCAATGAGGGCTCGCCGATTTTTTTAACCCCTATAGGCCCTACCACCAGGCCATCAATAATTTCATCATGGACACATCTGCCAAGGGATAAGACTTAATTTTCATTTTTAAGGACCTTTCGGCCACGTTCATTTTTCCAAAAACTGCCACGCGCGTTAGGACGATCGTACGTGCACCGCGCGAAAAAATATGACACTTTGTTTGATTAATCACCGCTGCGCCAGCCGCGATGCGTGGTAGTTTCCATGGTTACGGATATATCGGATTCCTTTCTCTCGGGTTTTTATTTTCCATGAATCCATGAGTATGGTTGCAGGTTGGTACAGTTTATGTAGTCAATTAGGGTTGTCAAGTAAGAAACACATGTGATGTCAACAACTAGAAAACAGGTTCTGTACTGATTTATAGCGACATTTACACTCAGATAATAACATTAATCGAATAAACTTGAACTAGGATAATCTCCATAGCAAATAGATAACTAGCTTTTCATCAATAATTACTTATTCTTCGTCTCCTTACGTCCCAAAAGAACTAACATACCTTCAGCACTTTGGTTTACCCTACCACACACCCTCTTGGAAGCGTCGGTCGTGAGCTTGACCAGGCGTTCCACAGACTGTGTGTGAGAGGGTAACTCCGTCTTCAATGGGCAGGTCAAAAACTCACTCACATCTAATCCAACAGTAAGAGGCGGTTCAGTTACGCTAACAAGATCTCCCGAAAATGACTTATACATCCAGCGCCCATTAACTTCACTTAAATTACACAAATCAGCATATCTCTTGGCTTCACAATTCATCAAAGGTAAATAATAATCTAAGTCTAAACTTTCTTCCCCATATCTCCTCAAATCTAATATAATATCAACTGCCTCTTTCCTAAGTTCAAAACTATCATCTCCCAGCATTGCTATTAAAATATTGTGTGGATGAGCAAAATAACTGTTAGTCTGAAGGCACCCCAAAATAGTATCTAAATCTGACTTGCTTTTCATAAACTTCTTAACTAAACTTATTTCCTTAAACAGATTTACTGAACCATTAACTAAAGAACTGCGATACTTAATAAACATGTGCATTGGAAAATAAATATTCAAAATATAAGTAGACAGTTTTCTTAACTTAGGCATTAAATACGAAGGTACCCCAGCTGCAGACATATATAATCTCAATACTCGACTCTGTAGTGTTATCCAACGGGCGTGGCAGAGCGGGCCAATTTCCGTCTTTCCAAGTTGAGCCGGCAGCGATCCTGTAAAGAAATGAATTTAGATTTGAGAAACTTTAACCTGCCGTCAACACCGTCAGACAGTCGTGTACAAATCAATTAAGGATTTCAAGCAAATGAATCTTTGGAACAATTTGTGATTCTGAATTTTCAAGATCAAGAAATTAACTTACCACTCTGAACTGCCACCACGAAGCGGAATAGGACCTTTTGGTCCCAGCTGAGTTTCTTAACAACAGCATCCGGCAGAGGTGGAGCGTCAACTTTGAGCGGAACAAATCTCCGAGGGGTCATGAGGTGGACGGGTCCTGCAGCAAGCTTCCCAATTGGTCCTGAGAAGGAGTTGGGTCCCGATGTGACTCCGTCTAAAGAGGTAAACAAGTGTCGGAAGGGAAGTTCAATACGGTGTAGAGAGCAGATGCTCCGTTGAAGAGAACGGTTCAGCTTCTTCTCAAGAAGAGAAACTACTCCGGCGTGGCGTCCTGTGTTGGTTGAGGTACCGTCACATCCACAGCACTTGATGTTGGTTATGTCGATGCCGAGTTCCGAACAGTGATCTTCGATTGCTCTAACTGTGGACTCGGCTCCTGAAATTTAAAATGTGTCAGGTAAAGGCATAGAAACAATTTTACGATAACAATGAGTCATGTGGTTAGTTTACACATACAGATTAATTGAATTAAAAAGGGCGTGAAAAATATTACTAACCGCTTCCACTTTCTGGGGTGGCGAATCCGAGATAGCGAGGAGTCCTCATCTCTCGTGATATGAGAGTTAAGTCTTGTAGCTAAGGCAAGTGCCCGTTCTGAGGAGTCGTTCAGAGGAGTCAGTTTCTGTAGTATCACTCCTGATTCTCTGTAGGAAGACGTAGAGATCCAATCTTCAGCATCCAAGAATGAGTGGGGCACTTCAAGGATACTGAAGAGCAAGGTAGAGTGAGCGCCAACGAAATCTATCAGGGATGATTCCTTGGTGAGGGCGGGAAGAGTAGGTTTTCCGATGTCAGGGAGGACTGATGGCAGTTGACTGATCTTCTTTGCGATGTTGTTCCTCGTCTCCAACGATAAAGACTCGTCAAACAAAGCCAGAGGGACGAGATCTTCTGTCAGGTACCAAGTGTGCCTGTTTATTACAGTCGCTGTTGAACAGGATACCCTCATACCTTGTTGACCTTCGAGAACTTATGGATTCGGCTGTACAGCTTTAGGTCGTTGGATGCAGCTGAGAAGAGTGACCCAGAGGTAAACCATGCTTCCAGGTACACGAACACGGCAAACAGCGCCATTTGGTGAATCTTCTTTTCGTCCTCCAGTGAAGCCCAAGCTGATGGCGAAGAAGAATGAGCAGATATCATGAAGTTGAGTATGGCAATTCCTTCGCCTCTTAGCGGGTGTCTTACCAACACTCAACCTGTCGATATGAAAGTCAGTAATGACCTGCTGCTCTTTAATAGCTTGCACATACTCTTGAACAGAGGGCTTTGGGCAATGCACTCGGGATTTAAATCCTCTATGAAAGAGAATTGTCTGAGAGGGAGAGATAGCACCGACAGGGACACTTCGTAGGAAGGAAGAAACTCATGTTTGGATAGGAAGGTATGGTACTCGCCGAGTAATCCCCGACGCTCTGGAGGTCAATGGCGATCTATTTACGTTCTGAATATTCAAGAGAATAATGTGAAAAGGCCTCAGCCTTCTCAGAATATTTCTTGCAGTCTCTAAGAGGTTTCCCATCATTAGACACTGCTTTCCATGCTTCTCCCTCGATGAACTTCTCTACAAAAAAATGTTTCCCCGTGGAGGGAGCAATTCCAAGCATTACTTCATTGTACACGATTCCAAGCTTCAACTTAGCAGCTAGCTCAAGCACTATCTGGTTGACCTTGAAAGTAAATTTAAACATTACATGAATAAATGTCCCTATGACAGGGTCAATCCACGTCTCCCTGACGCCCTGGAGGTCGATTACGATCCACTTACGTTCTGAATATTCAAGAGAATAATGTGAAAAGGCCTCAGCCTTCTGAGAATATTTCTTGCAGTGTCTAAGAGGTTTCCTGTCATTAGACACTGCTTTCCATGCTTCTCCCTCGATGAACTTCTTTACGCGACCACGTCTTCTTCTTCGTGAACGATTACGGGATGTAGCTGCACTGCGGGAAGTAGCTGCACTGTGGGAAGTAGCTGCACTGCGGGATGTAGCTGCACTGCGGGAAGTAGCTGCACTGTGGGAAGTAGCTGCACTGCAGGAAGTAGCTGCACTGCGGGAAGTAGCTGCACTGTGGGAGGAGGCTGGAGGAGTGGAAAAGGGGTTCTCTTCGTTAGATGTTGATGGGATAGTTCCTCTGGAACGAGGAAAGGTTTACTCTATCTGCTGCTAGGCCCAGTTTCTTCACGAACTTCCTGGAGATTTCCAACGTAGTTCCCCGGCTGATGCAAAGACGTAATCTTCATGAAGAATGGTATCCAGGTCAAACAGAACTTTTTCAACGCCTCCTCGAAGGATCACACAAACCAGCTAGAAAAGTTCCTTGTAGTCACCTCCAGGTTTGAGGGTTGCATTGTCAAGACACTCGTCGACAGAAAGTTTAGGTGCATCATTCATGACTCTGTCCGAGCCCCTAGAAAATTGTGTGATAAGAGATAGAAGTGAAAAAGAAAAAAAAATATCAGTGGTCGACCGGGGCCCCGGCCCGGCCAAAATCACAACCCCGGCCCTTCCCGGCCCTGGCCAAAATTTGGCAATTCGCCGGGGGTAAACCCCGGCCAATAAATTTACCCCCGGCCCCGGCCAAAACCATGCATTTACCGGAGGCACAGCCGGGGATTACATGAATGATTTTGGCACATTTTTGAAAAAAATCAAACACAATTTAATGGTAATTATGAGATTTCAAATTAATTGGCCGGGGGTAAACCCCGGCCAATAAATTTACCTCCGGCCCCGGCCAAAACCATGCATTTACCGGAGGCACAGCCGGGGATTACATGAATGATTTTGGCACATTTTTGAAAAAAATCAAACACAATTTAATGGTAATTATGAGATTTCAAATTTTTTTCAAATTTTTATAAAATATTTTCAAAATTATTATCAAATTCATGTTTCAATTTCTGACTACAGTTTGGTAAACTACCCTCGGCCCCGGCCCCGGTAAAATGGAAGATTCCCCGGCCCCGGCTAATTCTCAGTGGCCAGCCCCGGCCCCGGCCCCGGCTATATTGGGGCTCCCCGGCCCCGGTCAGAATCCTGCCCCCGGTCGACCACTGCAAAAGATAGTAGGAACTAGGAATACATGAAATAAAATCAAAACGTAGGCCAGCTGATAAAAAATGCGCTTTGGTGATGACTGGAAAATTAAAATTCTCAATCTGAGTTAATAAACAACGTACAAGCTGCAAACCAAACAGTCACTTTATTTGAATGTAATTAGCTATCCCTTATCAGTTATCACTGTAATAAAACATATACTGAAAAGTGTAATTTGAATGAAATTTTATTTATCACTGGCTTATCAGTTATCATGCTTATTCGTAAAGATAAGCTGCAATTTCATCGGTAATAAGTAATAGTTTTTATTAGTGCTGCTGGCCATTTACAAGAATTCAAGAAAGCTGCCGATAAAAATGTTTTCGGTGTATTTTCACGCAAATTTAGATGAGATTCAGTGTGACAGTTCTTCAGGTGCTCCTGAAATTTTATAGAGAAATAGTTTATCAAGAGAGTCTCTGAGTTAAGATATTTTGAGTTGCTGCTCTTAAAAATGTGTACTCTTCTAAGTATCGGATGAAGCGTCCTATGTGTAACTTAGGGCTGGTGGCCAGTTCTGGATTACCCTTCATAACTTACGAATCACGGGTTACTACGGGTGTACGTGGTTAAGACTGTAGGTTTTGAATAGTCATGTGCAGTTAACAGTTGTTTAAAAACGTCCGTGTCCCAGCGGCTAGTGGTGAAAGTTTTTAGCGTTGGCTTTAAGTCAAAGGATGAGCAGGTGATATTTCTGCGTCCTTTCGAGTTCACGAGTTTGGCTCCAATTTTCTTTGTGATGGGCGGAAGGCTTTATTGTAAACGTTAAGAAATGGTTTTTGTACCAAATAAAGAAAAACCCAAACCGTACATCACACTGGTATTCTGCCGCATAATTATCGCATAATTACCGCATAATTCATGAAAAGTTCCACCATATAATTGTTTAAAATTGACAACAGATTATTTTCTAAAAATCTGCAGCTAAACGGCAGCTCTGGTGCTTTCCTCACTGTTATATGTCTGCAGGTTCTGCCCCTACTGTTGAAGCAGAGTTCTGTCTCCAAGAGTTCTGTCACCAAAAAGCACAGCTGTACGAGTGACTCTCTTTCCGATACGGTTAGTAATGGAAATATTTTTCAGTTACAACGACACAATTGATAGTTTAATTTTTTTCCTAGGAAAAGATTAATGCGTTGAGAGATAGAGGAATGGATAAAACTCTAAAAATTGAGACTTTAATATTGCCGATTTGATATTTTCAGGGTATGTCATTTCCAGACGCGACGAGTCCGGTGCAATTTAACCTTCCCATCATCCAACCGAAGATGGCATCCAACTACGCTGATTTTCCATTTTATACTATGGGTTCATTTCCCCCTGGGTAAGTTGAACTTAAAACAGAGTTTTAAATAAGGTAATAGATATCTACTTTATATTTAGAACTTTGTTTAAAGTGGCAATATCTTGATTGAGTAGGACTTAGGGCAGAGTTTTCAACAAGGCGTCAAACGTATAATTTAGTATTTTGTTTAAAATGGCAACGTGGCGTTTTGCTTTATACGCTTCAGTTTAGAATAGCTGAAAGTCACGCTAAATATTATTATGTTAGGTTCCTGCTAAGTTATGATCCAAATAAAATTATATTTACATCACACTTATTATACATAGCATTCAAGGATTGATCAGTGATCAGATAAATCACCTTTTATCACCATTAAATAATGGCGAAATGACGCGATCGGAGAAATTCTGACCGATAATTTGATGACATATATCCCGAACATATCAAAATGTGGAGGGGCAATGACTATAGGCCACTCTCCCCACCTCTGCCTTTTAAGTTTTAACAAAATACTGCGCTGTTGCCAGCTCGTGCTTTCGTCATAGCTGCGCAGTACGACGAATAGTACACACGTGATATTACTAACTTACGTTGTAAGACACATGTTTTCACCACCACCAAGTCAAGCTGTCCAATTATTACTTTTTCAGTCTTAACCCTCAACAAAAAATCTCTTTAAAACAAAAACTGGCTAACACCTAAGCCTTCAGTTTCCCGACAAAAATTCCAAAGTTTCAATTTTGCATATCACATGAGTAGACATTGTTCCTCGTCCGACTGAACCTGAATATTAAATCGCAAATTTTTTGTACACGTGTCTTTATCAGTTTATCTGAATTCTGACGAATAAAATATCTGAATGAGAAAATAACTGATTTAATGAGACTGTCACCCATACAATTTATCATAACCATCGATCGTAATACCTTTTTTTGATGGACATTTTGTGGGTGATCGCCTCCGTAATGTCTGCCCAAATTGAAGTTCATTTGAATTTTCGGCGTCCGTCGTCCAATTCCAAAGAAAATCTTGCACCCATAATATTGTCCGCCTAAAATAATGTATGTACAGCGTTTAGAGATCACTTCCCGAATAGTTTTTCATACATTACAAACCGTAATGTATGTAATGTATGTAACTTCACAGGTTTGTAACGTATGTAACCTCATAGGTTTGTGACTAATATAGGTGGCCTGGTGTCGTCCCGTTCAGTGCGACTTCTCGACAAGTTAGAGACCATGTCTGAGGAGAGTGATACGAGAGATAAGCTGTGGTTAGAACTGAGGAAGGAAGTTAGGACTCACATGAAAACCTTGGGCTGTACCGCTGTTATCGGTTACAGGTCTGTTTTTGTACTGCCTTCACGTATTTTGCTTTTTTTCTTTCTGATAAAATTTCATTCAGATCACTTTGTTTTCCAACAATTAATTGAACCATTAACTCACACTCAATACCGATCGATTCCAATCGGTTTTAGCTCAATTCTAGGGGGATTCTAGGAAAATGTTAATTTTATGTTCATTTCGTTCATTCTATGAACCAGGGGAATATTTTGCACTTCTAAGTAGCTGGAAATGTTAGTACATGTATCCCTCTACCATACCAGATAGATTTCAAGTCAGTACAAGCATAAACACGGCTACAAAAGTGTGGTTCCAAATTTGTCTCAAATGTTTCCAAAATCTCGGATTCATCTTCTGAACCATTAATAAAGTTAATTAATTAAATTAGCTCACACTGAACCTCAGCGAACAAAGTACGATATGTGATAAGCTGTGCGTGTTATCAGCCATAGGAACTGCAGTTATTCTCAACCCTTCTCCTAGTCTGGCTGACGAGTTCATTGCTTGTAAGCCGTGTCATATCCCATACAATGTCCAGTCTTCTCCCTTTAACATTACTCCTCACAACTGTTCAGTGAGTAGGCGACTAGGAGTGATAATATCTAAATAGTGGAGTATTGTGACTCCTTCTTTTATCGTCAATATTAGTTCAGCGAATAAATTAATTGATCACTGTGTGTGTTAATGATAATTTAAACTAAGAGATCTAGATGTTTACCCCACATATTATGATGTAACATTATTCTTGGTAGGTGTGTGGTTCAGGCAAAGTGCCAGATATTCTCCTCACAACTATTGATATTCTTCCTAATACTCCTGTTAATGGGAATGGCTGCTTCATTCAGGTATTCTTATTTGAAGATTCTATGTATTTCACATATCCCAGGTGCCATGCATCTGAATTATCTGTTGGTTTTTTGTTGTTCTGATCAGTAAAAGCCATCTAGCAGATTATCATTAAGCTTTAATTTTTAGGGATAATAAAATTAAGTAAAATAAAGGAAAATCTACCTATTGATTAGGTACAAGCGTTTCGGACGAAAAAGAAACAAACTGGGGAGAACAGCGCGCGTGATATCGGACAACAACTTCCATTCCTTGAGTACGAGATTCATCAGCAGCTGTCTCACAAGCTAAAAATAAAGGGAATGAACGCTGTTGTCGGCATCAGATATGAACTATGTGTGGGAGAAACTGCAGTAAGTTCTCTTTCAGTATCATTTATTAATTATTATGGTTTTAGTGCCGCTGTTAGATTTAATATGCTATGTTTGTTATGTAAAGTATGTAAGATATGTAACCTTTTTAGAGCAGTCACCAACATCCTTTCAGATCCTGTACATAGCATCAGGTACAGCTGTTTACCTGTCTGCATTACCTCCCGCCTCCCCACTCAGAGTTAGATGTGATACTGCTGAATCTACTCAGGTATTAATTAATTAATCAATTTATTGGTATTAATTAATATTAATTGATATATGGTATCTATTCATTAATCACCTTATTATTACTTAGTAAATTTGTTAATAAATTTATCAATTAAATTACTAAAAGTGTACCGGTCCTCTATCCAGGATTGGACCTGGAACTTTTACTGAGATTGTATTTCTCGGTATTAATTTGTTTTCTAAATCCCTGCGTTATAAATCACCACTTACACTGAAACAGTCTCCTGACCAGGTAGACAAGTTACAGGAAGCTATCCAGGCAGCTTACGAGAAGAATGTCACGTGCTACAACATCTCCCGGAGTGAGTCTATATCCGGACCTGCTCCGGATCTCAACCTCTCTGTTACCAATAAGGTTAGTGGGTATTATAATTTTGATATCCTGCCCATTATTTCAAATCACGGTGTAGAAAATTGAAGCTCATATTCTGTATGTGGTACACTGGTCTCTTGAGAGAGAATTTGGTCACTCTGATGTAGCCTAAAAACTGCCTTTTTTTTGTCTGGCAAAGCTTTTTATGGGATCATCAGACTATGGCATTACATGATTATAGAATTCTTATATACGGTATTGTTATATTATATCATTCCTTGATTATAGCATTCTTACTGAAATCATTAAAAAGACATTCAGATATTTAACCAGGATGTAATAGTAGTGGATATAGAAGATCCCAAGGATGAAAAGAAGATAGAGAACTCTCTTAAATCTCTCTTTCTTGATCACATGTTCACCTCCAGTTCAAGTACAGTTCCAGGGGTGAATGGTAAGTTCTTAGGACACTGCACTTTCAGTTTTTAAAATATTGCGCATCAATTGTGACACGATGTTCTCAAGAATCGATAAATTACCATTTAAGTTGGTAATTGCTCCTCTGGAATAATCGAAATGTCTCTTCAGGAGACATGATTCCTTGTGAAGCTGCCCACATCATGACTCAGATATGTAGAATAGACACTCCCGGCTTGGAAACAGCGGATCTAGATAAGATTATCAACAAGAACATGCAACTTCTCTGTTTCAAGCTGCGGAAGTACAAATCTTGCTTCCTCAGCAATATCAGGTACTGATTTCAGCTCTTTATCAGCAAGATCAGGTACTGATTTCAGTACTTTATCAACAAATTCAGGTACTTACTCGAGGTATTCCTTTAATGAAAGGCGAACTTTGAATTTGTTGTTGCCAGTTTTGGAGTGGCTAAAACCTGGTTAAAACTTAAACATGTCCCATCCCATTATAAACTTCACTCAACAGAAGTAATTATAGATTTGTAGTGTATAAATATTTTAAAATTTGTGTTTAAAATTTGAAAGACTTAAACTTTGTTAATGGCCGGTTGACTGACTACTTGTTCGAGCAGGCTTCCAGTTCCGGTTTTCTTTGGACCAATGCCAACTGCAATGGTTTCACAAAAAATTCAGTCCACAGAAGCACTGGCACCCCTAAAATAGTTAACTAGGCAGAGTTTTTGTAACCCTAAGGCAACCATTAGTCGGCCTCCCCCTTTCTCCACTATGATACCCTAATTAGTGGTCAAGGAGGTTTAAAACAGACCTTTATATAACTTTGCGTAGGTTTAACGTGCACATGCCTGATGATGACGAACTAGTGATCCTGATATCTGCTATCGGAACTATTTCACTTCCTGTTTCACCTGTTGTACGAGCAGTCGACACTAAACGCCGCTTTCACAGGTACTTTATTTAAACACATTATCTTTAAATTATATCTACAAAACCAGCAACAATTTTAGATATAATTTCCTATTGCGTTTCACATGATGAATGATGATTGTTAGCATGTGTTTTATATTTCCAGGTTCCTAAGTTCGGCTAGCAATGAAATAAGATTCTGTGAAGAGGAACTTAATTCGAGTTTAGAAAGTTCCGGATCTCTCAATAACACTGCAGTACAGCTCACTCCAGCTGATCACATTCCAGGTACCAATATTTAGTCTATCATTTTAGAATTGTGTTCTTGTTCTTGAAACTGAAAATGTTTAAGAAATGACGAGAAAATATCATTATTCTATATTCCATGAATCAGGATTTACCTTCGTACGTAATACTATAACAACTCATTACTCCTCAGGTGCCACGGTTCAACACTGTTTCGGTCACCTCAGCGTGTTCCTGATCCGCGAGAGTGCTGATGTTCGGGACCTTAGCTCCTTCACCAAGAACTTCATCATGGAGGCCCAGGCTATCATGCGCGCGCACGTGGCCTCACTCGGCGGGAATGTACTTTTTGAGTTTAGAATCAGTGAGCTGGTACTGATTGACGGTCCTCAGAAATTCCAGGCACAGATTCTTCTGAGTATATCTGGAGATGCTGCTCATGTTATTTATGAGAATAGACCTTCTTCAAGTTCTGGATGATTTGATTGGTCAGGCTCATTAGTCATTGATGAGAACTTCATTTGTAGCGAATAACCCCCTATATTATTGTATCTGACAATACGGGGGCACCAAATCAATTACATACTATGAGTCATGGCCTATATCCTAGAAAAATATTGTTTTGGTTTGTCAAAACAAGCGCAGATAATGAGATTAAGTCAATAATGGAAGTCTAGTTATGATTATGTATTTGATCGTAATTGATTATGATTTCATTCCTGATAATTGTAATTATACAAAAATCAAGAGTACGCATTGTAAATAATTTCGTAACTTTATAGTAATTTATTATTAGATATTACTTATTTACGTGTGAAGCTATATTACTTGTCAGCTATTTTGACTTTGTTTTATAATTTATCTATTATTTTTTAGAAACAGATTTGTTTTCCTCTCCAAAACTGAACAATAAAGTTTAGAAATTCATCGTCATGTTGTGTCAAGTTAAGTTTTGAAATTTACAAAAGTTTCATTTATTATAACACGTTCACTTTAACGTCAAGCTTTAACCCAAGCGATTATGGAGAAATTAAGAAGTAATCTGCTGAATTGGTCAAGCTGAAAAAAATGAATTTCTATAAAGTACAGTAGACTTACTCCAGATTTGATCCCTATCGAATCCAATAAAAACAGCCCGTTTATGGATCTTTGTAACGACTTTATCGAGCTCAATGTGGGTATCTTTTATAGAACATTACAAAGGGTCACGGCATATTTAAGTAATTTTTTTGTAGAACTTTCTCAATGTTATTAATATTAACCAATAACCATCTTGTACGAAAAATAAATTTAGCCTTTAATCTGTATTTGTTTACGCCCCCTGTGTAAAAATGTATTTTTTCAGGGCTTTGGAAAAGTGTACCTCGCTGACTTGCTCTCTATCACGAAGGGTGAAGATACTTTTTGGTCGGTAAGAAAATCTGTTTTATTGTAGTACCTGTAGGGGGATGGTGGAGTATCTGGTTTTCTTTGGATCTTAAAATTCAGTCCGCAAAATCACCGATGACGTCATTCAAGTAACCGATGACGTCATTCAAGTAACTCTTTTCAGGTTCTCTCCGACAGGATCACCTTGAAGGAACTGAACGATGGAGCAAGAAGACTGCATGAGATCGTTACTCCTGATAATCACAAGTTCACCTTGGTTTTTTGGAAGGTTTATCTACTTTATTATATAGTTCATACTATGACAGACGAAAACTCCTAAATTTGTGGCCGATTACTCGTATCTTTTTTTTATCATGTTACCTTATAGAATATAGATACTGTTTAAAAAACGTTAGATAAAATAAAAATGGCAAATGAGGGAAGTTGGTTTAAGGGGGCATACCCCAAAACTGTGGTTTGTGCCGTCCAGACCAAATGACCTCATAGGCAGTTCAGTGACCTTCTAGCGCACCGTTTCCACACCAAAAAAAATTATTTTGAGAATACCCATTTTTGTAATCGAGCATTTCCTGGTTAAGAGTGCAATTTTCAGAAAAAATTATTTTGTGGTTGAGACGCTATAAGTTAATCATTTCTTGCGGTATCGGGTTGAAATTTTGCTCGCCGTTTATTCACATCTATGTCAAGGTGTGTGTAAAATCTTGATATCGTATCTAGGGGGGAGCCAAGTGGATATTTGTAGATATTTGGATAATGTCATCCACTTTTTTCGTGAATTATCCATTACAATAATCTACAAATATCTACATTTATCTACAAAAAATGTATATCTCAAATATGTGCCCAGAAATTCTACTGAATTTTTGGAGATAAATGTATAAATTTGTAGAATTTGTAGAATTTACGTGAATTATCCATTGACAATAATCTACAAATATCTACATTTATCTACAAAAAATGTAATCTCAAATATGTGCCCAGAAATTCTACTGAATTTTTGGAGATAAATGTATAAATTTGTAGAATGTCATCCACTATTTTCGTGGATTATCCATTCTACATTAATCTACAAATATCTACAAATATCCACCTGGCTCCCCCCCTATCTAAAAAGGCTGGTGTGTTATGAATTTTTAAAGTCAAAAAGCTAAAATTGTCCTTTTCAGGCTTATTTTAACAAAAAGTCAGTCAGGGAAGATCAGATTATTTGATGCTTGACATCAAATTGTTCTCTGAATTCTGGCGCAGTTTTTGATGCCCTCAAAAATGTTTTTACTCATTCACCTTCTGATCTATTGGACCTTAAAGCCAAACAACAAATTTAGGCACATTTTTCGTTTTTAATATTTACTGATTTTTCTAAACTTTTGATAGGAATGTGCTAGTGACTTTTTGAAGGGTGCAAAATAACCGCAACTAGCACATTTATATATGAGTTATGAACAACAAAACACCCTAGAATGCTTCCCTTTGAAGTTATGGGAGAAAATGTGATTTTTTGGCTTTGCAGTTAAAAAAATCACATTTTCTGATTACTAGCACATTCCTATCAAAATTTTAGAAAAATCAGTAAATATTAAAAACGAAAAATGTGCCAAAATTTGTTGTTTGGCTTTGAGGTCCAATAGATCAGAAGGTAATGAGTAAAAACATTTTTGAGGGCATCAAAAACTGCGCCAGAATTCAGAGAACAATTTGATGTCAAGCATCAAATAATCCGATCTTCCCTGACTGACTTTTTGTTAAAATAAGCCTGAAAACTGAAAAGGACAATTTTAGCTTTTTGACTTTAAAAATTCATAACACACCAGCCTTTTTAGATACGATATCAAGATTTTACACACACCTTGACATAGATGTGAATAAACGGCGAGCAAAATATCAACCTGATACCGCAAGAAATGATTAACTTATAGCGTCTCAACCACAAAATAATTTTTTCCGAAAATTGCACTCTTAACCAGGAAATGCTCGATTACAAAAATGGGAATTCTCAAAATAATTTTTTTTTGTGTGGAAACGGTGCGCTAGAAGGTCCCCGAACTGCCTATGAGGTCATTTGGTCTGGACAGATTTGGGGTATGCCCCCTTAATACTGTTAACAGAATGAGCCGCTCTATCCGTACAATTACAAAATTAGTAACATTTTCAGGTTCATAACATGAATTTTCAGGAAATATTGAAGTGGCAAGAGACAGTTCCCGGACCAGAGATGAAACATTTTATCTCTATGTTGGGGCACACTATTCAACTGTATCTATCTTGGGACCTTAATGACCAAAACATCTTTAAGATTCTCAGATATCTCGCGTCAGGGTTTCATAAGGTATTTAAAACTGAAAACGTTACAAATTAGTGACAAATTAGTGACAAATTAGTGACAAATTAGTGACAAATTAGTGAGCAGTACTTCTTTTAAACCAATAGCATTTTTGTTTTACTTAATATTAAACCACAAAATCTCGAATCACTGTTACCTGTTGAGAATAATCACCTCAAGATTCTTCATTGCAGTTGGTAAAGTTGACAGACGACCAGGAAGCTATTGTAGGATTATTGTACAAACTTCACCAGACAGGAGGAGAGAGAAATGTTACAACCTTTCTGCTGCTCTTCAAAACCAGTGTGGGTTACTTAGACACGTTTTACTTTTATCTATATTCAATTTAATGTATCACGTGATATATCTCGGTAAAATGTTCATTGTCAGTCGGAACTCATCTCGTTAAACTCTTCCTGCTTTTTCTCAGATGGAACGACTGGTAAAACCTCTTGATAGTGAGCCCCTGGATCCGGACTCCTCAACTCCTGACCCATTAAAATATCACGTGACACAGCTACTCCAGACTCTGGAGACAGTCAGCTGCCAGACTATTGGGCAGGTGTTCCACAAGCTTCATCGTGTTGAGATCTGTAGCGCTATTAGCGCCGGATTCACGTTATATTGGGAGGCTCGCGTGGACAGGTCATTACAGTTATTTGTGCTAACAATTAACATATAAAATGTTACTTGGTAAATCCGTCTTTCCGAGTAAAATCTTATTTATTATTTCCGATCTGTAGGTGTTCAAATGTACTTTTAATCTCTAATACTCCTGACCCCAGGCCGATGTCTTTAATTCACCGTGTTATCTACAAGCTGAGTTCTCTATGTACACTGATAAGAGATAACGAGGAGCTAAAAGTTGTGGAATGTGTCCTGGTCACCAACCTCCTCTCCTACAACTATCTCCAGAGTGCTGTAAGCGCCAATGTTCTCGTCTTCCTTGCCAGGTGATTTCTCAGTTTCATGACTTCTTGATGTTGCACAAAAGTGTTTTTTATTTATTTATTTAATTTTTAAAATTATCATTTTATTATTTTTTTAATTGACACAAAATTGTTGATAGTTTTCATTTCAGCTGTTTTATGTAACCTAATGTTGACAGGTTGGCTCCAGGAAAGTACGTTACCCAACTGGTTAACTGTAACCTAATCTTGACAGGTTGGCTCCAGGAAAGTACGTTATCCAACTGGTTAACTGTCTCAGCGACCTGGTTACGATAACTCGCTGCCAGATCAGGTCTTCTTCGCTTAAACTCGCCATCTCGCGTCTTCTTCCTGTCATGGATCAGGCTGACTCCGCTCATCTTCAGTCCAAGTTTGCTCGGTGAGCTTTGCTGTCGACCTTTTATACCCGTCTTGGCTCTTGGTTAATAAACTTTGTTAAATTATCTATCCGAATGTTAGATTTGCGTTCTCTTTTCACTTTTTTAGTCGCCCTGTCCCTCTAGTTTAGATGGCGGGCTACTGCAGTTTCTTGGAAATGACCAAAAGAAGGAGGAGATAACAAGTTCAACATTGCAGCACTGGAAATCCTCCAAGATTAAAACAGGTTCGGTACTCAATATTATTTTTCTCACACTTTTCTTAAACGATAATAAAAAAGTAACAGTATTACTTCCTGCATCTAATAACACCTCTATAACACCTCCCCTAAGTCCTAACACCTAACACCTCTACAACACCCCTATAACACCTCCCCTAACACCTCCTCTAACACCTCCCCTAACATCTAGCACATCCGCTCTGCAGGTGATTTGCTAAAAGTTCTGCCGGTCTGCCAGAAGACTCTGCCTACTTTAACCGAGCTATCAGATCTGTTGCTTGATCTCCCCAAGTGTAGGATGAACCGAAACAAGCTGGATAATGTATATTGTTCAGTAGTCGGTTGTCTGGAGAGAGATAGTTGGAGGGAGTACAGACATGACCCGAGCAATGTTATACAGGTAATGTGATAAAATCAGTAGTTTTTATCATCATTTTTCTGAAACTGGTGTAGTATCATTGCTTCATTGGCTTTATTGAAATGATGAATTGCCCAAACATAGTTTTTATCATAATATTTTAATGTAGTCTTCAGGTTCAAAGTTGTAACTTATTCATATTGATTATCATTTTAAATGTTTAGATTTTTTTGATAAATTATTAATTCAGTTGTTCCAACTGCTGCACCGTCTTCTGTCTGTCAACGATCTTTACATATCTACTCTGATTTTAGGTAGGTGATTTCCAGTAAAAAGATAGTTCCATTCTTTAACATTTCTCCTCTGCTCTTCGATTTATTTGATGAACTGGCCAATGCAAGAACGTTAGTTCTACTTATTAATGATTCGATCCATATCACTAACCGGTTGATTTGTTTAGATGTGGTGTCTAAGTTTTCCTCCTACGCTACACCAGACCCCACCATGTTCTGCCAGCTTTCCAACCAGATATTCTCCAAACTTATGAAGTGTAAACAAAACCCTTACTCGGAAAGAAAATGTCTCTTCGTGATTGCAACGTATGCTAAGGTCCGTTCTGATCGATGTATCCTATTGATGGTTATTGAAATTAAACGTTATCACGATAGTAGATCAATAATGATAAATTTTTTGCTAATAATTTGTATTGTTTTCTATTATACGTCAGAGTAGGATAAATATAAAATTAGTAAAGTAAACATCGTTTCTGATTAAGTAAACATAAACGTTCTATATTCTCTAATCTCTCTCCCTGCCAGATGACACCATACCCCGAGTTACTCAGCAATCTGGCTCAGGACCCGGACATAAAGTCTAAACTCACAAACTTCTTCCAACACAAAGAAAGACCCTCTGATAAGACTACAGACACAGTGGCCTCCACTGAAAGGAACTCTGGTTCCAGTACTAAATTTGATGTGGAGAATATTTTGGATGTTATCAAGACCACTCCTGGACAGAGGTTAATTCGTTATTGCTTTAAGTTATGATATAATCTATAAATGTGGATTCTATTTTGTTTTACTATCCTGTGGAATGTTGATTCTGCAATAAGTAATACCAGTATTTTAGACCTAGTTTAGTGCATAGAGTTTCACAAACGCTAAAACTCAGCTAATTTGTTTCAGGTTGATATTACATGCCGCCATTGAAGAGATACAAACACATCCTAAAATACCCTTCTACGCTAGACAGCTATTGTCAGCTTCAACCCCTTCAACGTAGAAAATTAAACGTAGAAAACTAAACTTCGGAGTGTATTCCTCGTTCAACTTTGGCATGAAAATTCAGCTCTATATACTAGCTTTTAGGTTAATTTCTATGAATGTTCTTGAAGTTTGAATTTTTTCAAGAGAATACCTGATTTTTTTTCTGATTAGACTCATTAATGACCATTTTATGATGTACATATTATAATATAATTATATAACATTCTCACTTATATTATTATTAGTCTAATATGCAGAAAAAAAAATCAAATATTCTCTTGAAAGAATCGTCAAATGAGAGTTAATGACTGTATAGAGTGTATACTATATCTACTACTTAATCAGAATTCTGATTGTTCTTGTATAGTTCCTAATCATTGAAATTAAAAAGCTGTAATAAGTTCAAAGGTTATCAAATGTCAGCGATAAATGAAACGCTCATCAAAACTGTTGTGCAAATGTTGCTATGTTTTGTCGTCGTTTTCATTATTGATGATATTGACATAGTTGATTCTGTGCCTTGTGTTTTCCCTCATTTTGTAATTTCATTCGATTCTAACCGCACATTTTAAGCCGGTTTTAGTCGACAGTAGATGACATTTTTTTATGCACTTTAATTTATCATTTTTATGCAAATATTTGATTACTTATTTACTCTATTTTCTATAAACGGTTAAGCTAGAATCAATCTTTTACTTATTCAATAAGTAAAACTAATATTGAAATGTTAATGTTATAACATTTATGAGGCCGACTTGCAAACTAATATTTTCTTCATCCTGGTCGAGCAATCTAGATTGATCCAGCTTCCTCACGTGCCAATATTTTCTTCATCCTGGTCGAGCAATCTAGATTGAGCCAGCTTCCTCACGTGCCAATATTTTCTTCATCCTGGTCGAGCAATCTAGATTGAGCCAGCTTCCTCACTTGCCAATATTTTCTTCATCCTGCTCGAGCAATCTAGATTGAGCCAGCTTCCCCACATGCCAGTGTTTTCTTCATCCTGGTCGAGCAATCTAGATTGAGCCAGCTTCCTCACTTGCCAATATTTTCTTCATCCTGCTCGAGCAATTTAGATTGAGCCAGCTTCCCCACATGCCAATGTTTTCTTCATCCTGGTCGAGCAATCTAGATTGAGCCAGCTTCCTCACATGCCAATGTTTTCTTCATCCTGGTCGAGCAATCTAGATTGAGCCAGCTTCCTCACATGCCAATGTTTTCTTCATCCTGGTCGAGCAATCTAGATTGAGCCAGCTTCCTCGTATGCCAATGTTTTCTTCATCCTGGTCGAGCAATCTAGATTGAGCCAGCTTCCTCACATGCCAATGTTTTCTTCATCCTGGTCGAGCAATCTAGATTGAGCCAGCTTCCTCACATGCCAATGTTTTCTTCATCCTGCTCGAGCAATTTAGATTGAGCCAGCTTCCCCACATGCCAATGTTTTCTTCATCCTGGTCAAGCAATCTAGATTGAGCCAGCTTCCTCACATGCCAATATTTTCTTCATCCTGGTCAGTGGTCGAGCAATCTAAATTGAGCCAGCTTCCTCACATGCCAATGTTTTCTTCATCCTGGCCGAGCAATCTACTTCTAGATTGAGCCAGCTTCCTCACATGCCAATATTTTCGTCATCCTGGTCGAGCAATCTAGATTGAGCCAGCTTCCTCACATGCCAATGTTTTCTTCATCCTGGTCGAGCAATCTAGATTGAGCCAGCTTCCTCATATGCCAATGTTTTCCTGATCGTCGTCAAATGAACTGCTCTGACGTTTCTACACGACCTGCGTCAGAAAACTTTGAATATGAGATTTGGTATTACTATTGACAAAGACAAGGATGAGGTGAATCGCACTTAACAACAGGGTTGACTAATAAGGCGATGCTAGCCCCTCACTAAAATTCAAACTAATGAATTATTCTTTTGTCCTGTACTATGCTGACGCAGCTCCGAAAATATATAATAGCTAAAGCAAGTTAGCTTGATACCAGAAAGAATATATTTTAAACAATATGATACAATAATTGCGGAAGCAGGAGCGCCTTATTTGTTATTGTCCAAGCTGCACAACCAATGGCAATAGTTGGCAGCTGCCTGCGCAAGCAGCAACTCAAAAATGCTGCAAGCCACGCCAGATCATCTTTTCAATGATACGGTGCCGGAAATGCCCGATTTGCTATATTAACTACTTTGCATACCTGTGCAAATACTACAGCTTACAGTTGCGCGTGTATTTGTTACGCTGCCTTGCCGCTCTCTCCCCAGATGATCAATATACGAAGTTACTCATGCTTGTCGAGTATGCAGACTAAAGGACTAAGCCTGTGAACCACTGTTCTGCCTAAGTGGCTGCTCCGGCTTGTCATGATTTGCTAGTTTTATTTCATGTTTCCAGTCGTCCAGTGGTTGCTGGTTCAAAATCAGTAGTGCCAGTGGACATTTTAATTCAGGAATCTCGAAACACACTTCATAACTTTACCGTCAATATTTTTTGCGAAAGTTTCCAGTTCAATGTACATTACAAATGATCATACACCAAGGGTAATGCAGATTTTCGGTCACATTCCTCCTAGTCCTTACAGTATGCTAGTATGTGACGGTACCAATACCATACAAAACTAACATCTAGGAACGCAGCCACAGAGTAGTAGCTTTCAGATTGTTCTGCCTCGTGTAGAAATATTGGTGAGTGTGTTTAGTAATAGTATTGCCCCCCCCCCCCCCCCCCCCCCCCATTTAGCTCGACAATTTAATGATTGAGCTCGGCAAGAATCAAACTTCATACATTCATAACTGCAATTAACGTAATTTCGTAAAATCAAAACCAAAAACAATACAATTGATTTAGAAAGAACAAGTGAACAAGAAAGTTTTTAGTTTAGTTTTATTTAGACAGAAGAGCTTTTTTGCGTTTTGATGACAGGATTGAGGATGATGATGAAGCATTAGCAGGTGATTTAACTTTAAACGAAACTTATGAACTGTCTGTGTCACAAACACACAGTATTGCAGTAGCCACCTTCGGCACACGTTAACATCAAACAATGACCGAAGTTGGTTGAATTGTTGGTCACAGTAAGTGGTAAGGGATCTTTCAAAACTAACATAACATCTTTCAAAACTTAGCAAGTTAAATCAATATAACTGCAACCTGTGATGTTTAAATATATCTGCTATTTTTAGATTAAGTTTACCTTATCCCTTAATTGAGAGTTATCCCGTTTAATATCCCTTCATCTTATGTCTCTGAACTCCAAGGCTGTTATAGTACCCTTGTAATCATCAATATGTCAAATTCGTGGCCGGTGGCCACGTATAGTGTATCAGTATAGTAAGCCTAATTTTTACTTTTTGGCCGGATACCAACAATTCCGACTACCGACTAAGATGTGTTCACTGTTCAGAAGTCAGTGATGAGTGTACAGTTACTGTGTACCTAACCGGTGGTCAGTGTATAAAAGATATAAATAACAACATCCGTGATTTGAAGTGTGACTAGTAATAACACGTGACGTCACGTCCTAGTGAGGCGCGCACCTTACACGCGCACGTGTAGTATAGCGTTATCATTAATTTTATTAAAGTTCAATTTTTCTGGTTGACGTCCATCAGCAGGGGGAAATGTATACAGAATACATTTGCTAAGTACGCTACAGTTCCAATTATCAGTTTGCTTCGGTGTTTGTTCCTTGTCTTTTGCCAATCGGCGTTGTCCTCTTGAAGTTGAACTTTCAGATTTTCATGCAAATGCCATGATAAATGATTATCTTGTAAACGCTTTTTTGTCGAGTAAGAAAGTAAAATATTGAATAAAACGCGTATCAACTTATAAAACGAGGTCGCACTGCAAAGAGGAACCATCTTTTATTCTAAGCACGTTTATACTGACGTACCCCTTTTTATATAAAATGTAAGTTACATCATGCGGATTTTATCTCCAACTTTGAACTTTCCCATCTCTACTAGAACAAGTTGGTACTATAACTCTCATTACAGGATATAGAATAGGGGGGGGGGGCCAACCATATTAAAGTATATTAAAGTATATCCCCGGGTCAAAATCGGAAAAAATCCTACATTTTAATATACTTTAATATACCTACAATTAGAAGATTTATATTCTTCGTTAAGATTTACATGATGAACTATATTTTTCACTCAGATTCGCAAGATAAGCCTGTTTTAGGACTAGTACATGAATTTCCATCAAGATTGGTCAAAAATTGGCTGAGCTATGAGCTTAAAAAAATATGCCCATATTTGGGCATACGCTTTTGCCCAAATTCGCTTTTGCCCAAATTCGATAAAATTTCAATATTTTTTAATGAGACTAACTCTATGTGAAAGATATAACTCAGTGTTTGTTGAATATAGTGGATACTAAGTAAAAAGACCTCCATGAACAAAATTGGGAAAATTGCACATAATATCTCGGTTCGGAATACTAGCCAAAATGACTTCATTAAAATTGAAATAACTCCATCAGTTTTCAATATTTTTTCAAGAACTTTTTGGAATCGATAAAGAATTGCATTTCAAGCTTATTTTGGGCAACAATTTTTGATGTAGGCCTCCAAGGAGATAGGGATATATTAAAGTATATTAAAGTATATTAAAGTATATTAAAGTATATCCCCGGGTCAAAATCGGGAAAAATCCTACATTTTAATATACTTTAATATGGTTGGCCCCCCCCCCCAGAATATGACTGCGATATATATTATTATATTTCAATACGTACAAGAGATCAGTTCTTGTAGTTATTGATGCATTTCTTCAACCCTCATACAGTGCAATTTATAGCTATATTGCTGCATCGTTAAGCCATATTCATTGATTATATAACTAGTACATAGTAGTAGTGCTACCTTATCGGATATAATTTGCACGGCAATATAATGATTTGCACGGCAATAATTTACACAAACGATCAAAGCGTGCACAATCTTAGCTATGCGTAATTTATTGTGACCGCACTGAATTTTCAAATTTTAAAGATGTATCCGCCAGTTGCATCAATAACGCTCAAAAATTTCCAGACGTAACTCACTAAATTGAATTCTTATCAAAAATTGACATAGCCGGTTTGGTCTACACCATCCGACAGCTCACACTCGAATTATACTCCTGTATTGTGTCCTTATAGTTATATTAGCCTTTTCTTTGTTTTATTAATTTGACCTATTGCTCTTCATCTTTTGTCCGAGTGGGCTACATCAGATACACATTTAGCTAGCAGGTCACATTGTCTTTCTCCTGACCTAGTGTTGTCACGTCGAATGCTATTTCGTTGAGATCCGCGTATATTTCTCATATTTCTCATAATTTTCTGTGCTCATCATGGAAGAGGGGTTGTTGCAGAATGAGAATGATTTGGGTCTGCCTGATGGAGATGAGAATGATTACGGAGCATCTCAATTTGCTAACACACTTCTTGGCAATATGGACCCCGGATGGGATGAGGTTTTTGAGTGTGTAACTGTTTTTGAGTGTGTCACTGAGTGTGTATAAACTGTTTTTTTGAGTGTGCCACTGCCCAGTGCAGATTGGATCTAGTTTTGATTATCATACTTCGAGCCTATTAACTAAATATTTTTATCCTTATTCGAGTGTGCTGTAAGCATCACTGTGTGTTCGAGCCCATTTCTTCACTTCAAATTTATTTTACTAACACTAAAGTAGCGAGT